AGTCTGTATATTCCATGGTCAATTATTAAGAGATGTTTGCAGCTGTTTCTTCTCATTTTGAGTCATGCCACATCAGCAAATGAAGGTCCTGAAAGCTTTACTCTATCCACATTATTACGGTTGACTCAATTTTGAAGAGGCAGCTCTTCTCCAGTTGTATTTTGAGTGCCTTGAGGGGCTTACTTTCTGGCATTATGTCAGACAGTGTTTCCTTGCTATTCATAAGATTTTCAGTGGCCAATTTTTTCAGAAGCAGATCTGGTTATGTCTTTCTTCCTAGTCTCTCTTAGTCTGGAAGCTCCACTGAAACCTGTCCACCATGGGTGACCCTTCTAGTACTTGAAATAATGGTGGCATAGTTTCCAGCAGTATGCAAGCCACAATAGTGTGACAGACTGACAGATAGGTGGTGGACATGTGCATATAGTTTGAGATATTACTCTGTATCTGATGGTCTTAAATGCTTTATGCAGATCATCTCATTTAAACATCACAGAAGCACTATGAGGTACTTACTAACTTGAACTGAGCTCTGTCTGACTCAAAAGCATTTGCTTTTAACCACTACTCTGAGTAAGGGATTGATGATTTTTTTTTTTTTTTCTGTAAAGGACCAAATAGTAAATGTTTTCAGCTTTACAGGCCAAACAATCTCTGTTTTAACTACTCACCAATGCTGTTGTAGCACAAAAGCAGACATAGTAAGTGAAGACCATGATAATGAGTGTGGATTTTATTTGAAGAACCAGGGGAAACCATTGAAGAGTTTTGAATAAGGGAGCGCATTATCTGACTTTTAAAAAGCTCTGATTGCTATGTAGAGAATAGATTGGAGAAGGAAGAAAGAAGAGGCAAAAGACAAGTTGGGTTGTTGTAGTACAGATAAGAAATGATGGTTGTTCAGATTAGATTGGAGTTAGGAAAGGTAGGGTTGAAGTTAGATTGAGTTCAGATATACTTTAGAGGAAGCTGCAGTGATACTTGGGATGGGAGGTGAGGGAAAGAGAACAATTAAGAGTGGGTGTAATGTTGGTGGAAAGGAAGTAACCCAGAATGTTAAAACTGAACAGGGCTTTGGAGCTGAAATCATTTTTATTCCTGAAAAGGAAAGTGGGGTTTAAAGAAAAGTGGTGCTTATAAGTAAAAAGTAGAAAACCTTTATGGAGAAATAATTAAAAATCAGATAGGGAAAGAGGGTAATAATAGTTTGTGGAAGATCTTAAATGCTAAATTGAGGATTTTATGTTTGATACAGTGGACAAGAGAACCTCTGTAGGGATCCTGAAAGCAATATAGGAAATGGCTTGAACTTAGAAGGAGCCATAGAAATTGAGAGGAAAATATGATGTTAAGGAGGCAGAATTTTACTCACCAAGGTAGAGAGTAAGGGAGAAAGTACAAGAAAGATCAGTGGGACAAGTTAAATGTGAAGTGTCTGTGAAATACGTATGTGGAGAAGATAAGTTCAAATAGGCAGTTGGATCTATGTGTCTAAAACTCAAGAGTGAGGTCTGGTCATGAGAAAGAGTCATCATCATAAAGGTAGAAAAGTAGATAAAATGCCTGGAGAATATGTAGAGTAAGAAAAGGATCAAGGATAAAGTAGTGAGGAACACTGATGTTGAAGAAATGAGTAGAAGAAAGGAAACCCATGAAAGAGACAGGTGTGGAATAGATAGATGGTTTTGGAAGCCAGTAGAGGAGAGCTTCAAGAAAATGGAGTGTGAAGTTTATTGCAGCATTGTTTCTAATGGCAAACTGTGGGAACAACCTAAATGCCCATTGTTGTTGTTGTTGTTATGTGCCGTCGAGTCGGCCCCGACTCATAGCGACCCCTCCTTGGGTTTCCGAGGCAGTATCACTACGGAAGTAGGATTGCCCAACCTTCCTTCCGAGGAGTGGCTGGTGGGTTTGAACCGCCAGCCGTCTGGTTAGCAGGCAAGTGTCTTAGCCACTATGCTACCAGAGCTCCCCATTAGTATGTAAATAGTCAAATTAAGATACATTTGTACTACAAACTTAAATGTCTGCAGGGAATGTGCTGTTTTAAAATGTAGAAAGTAGGGCAGGTATAAGAAAATAGATGCTAAACTAGTTATAGGGTAATCTGGCCTTGTTGTTAGATGCCACAAGTTGGTCTGACTCGTAAAGACCCCATGTACAACAGAACGAAACACTGCCTGGTCCTGTACCATTCTCACAATTGTTGGTATGTTTGAGTGCGCTGTGGCAGACACCATCTAAATCCTTCTCATTGAGAGTCTTCTTTAGGGATTGATCCATTCCTATAACCTGTCCAAAGTAAGCAAGATGAAGTCTTGCCATCTTTGCTTCTAAGGAGCATCTGGCTATACTTCTTCCAAGACAGATACTCATTTTTCTGGCAGTCTATGGTATATTCACTATTTCTTACAAACTATAATTCAAACATGTCGATTCTTCTTTGGTCTTCCTTTTTCTTTTCTTTCTCTGCCCCACCCACCAAAGTGTATCTTATCCAAGCCATGGTGTTTTAATTTCCTTCATATGCATATGAAGGAGCCCTGATGGCATAATCCCTAAGGCATGTGACTGCTAACCAGAAGGCTGGTGGTTCAAACCCACCAGCCACTCCTCAGAAAGAAGACTGGGCAATCTACTTCCTTAAAAATATTGCCTTGGAAACCCAAGGAGGGGTCACTGTGGGTCAGATCCAACTTGACAGCAGTGAGTTTTAGCATATGCATGTGATAGCTGGACAAATGAAAAAAGAGGACTGTGCTAAGTGTAGTCTGACAGAAACAAACACCTTGCTTTAGTATGGCTTGAGCTAGGAGTCTCCTTTAGAATGAATAATTTGTTTCTTCTAAGGAGCAAAGCATTCTCCTCAAATGATGTTCTCTTGTGTGGCATCAGGAAATCTGACAGAGTTTGTACTTCCTCTAGCTCTTTATGAAACTAAGAAGCTCTCATTTTCTTTATAAATGCCTTCTCCCCTCCCCTTTTCCCAAGGACACTAATTTAGAACTTGCTTTGCCAACAATCAGCATATTTTGGGAATTTGTTTCTTCACCTCATCAGGGTTACTGTGAGTCATGGCTCTGATTCCATTCTTCCGTAGAACTCTGTAAAGTAGCAGATAATTAAGACCTTCTCTGGTTCTACTCTTCCCAGGGAATGTGCTAGGCTCTGGACTTCTAAGAGTGATTGTCTTCCCCCTAGAATTAAAGTGCCATCTGGTACATTTTAGATAGATGTGTTGGGGTTAGTCTCTATCATTGGAGGGATTTTGAGTGTTATTTTAAACTGAAGGTAAAATGTTTACATATGGACATTTGTCAGCTCAAATTACTTTTATTTTCAAGAGGTGGCTTATGCTTCTGGGAGGTCACTTTGGGTAGGAACAGTAGAGTGGCTGTCTCTGCCCTAGAAGCTCTCCTAAACTCTATCAGAGAACAGACTTGAACTCTTCATTCTGCTTCCTAATATTAGGTATCCTGGCACAGAATAAGGTCCCCTGCTTCTTGGCTCCTTTTTTTTTAAAAAAAAAAAAAAAATTATTTTATTTTATTGTGATTTGAAGGAGCTCTGGTAGTGTAGTGCCTAAAGCACTTGACTGCTAATCAGAAGGCTGGTGGTTCAAACCCACCAGCCACTCCTCGGAAGGAAGATGAGGCAATCTACTTCCGTAGTGATACTGCCTCGAAACCCGAGGAGGGGTTGCTATGAGTTGGGTCCGACTTGACGGCACATAACAACAACAACAACATTGTGATGTGGGTGAGGGTTTACAGAGCAAATTCACTTTCCATACAGCAGTTCATATACACTTTGTCTCATGACAGTGACTACAATAATTTACCCCAATGCAACAGCTCCCCTCCCATTTCCTCTCCTCTTCCTTGTGTCCATCCCTCCATGCACTCCTACCCCCTGAAATGTCTCCCTGTGCATAAACAGCCCTTCTTTCTCCCATGATTGTTCTCTCCAAGAAGTGTATCTACCTAGTATAAATGTTCGCTTCATATGCCTGTCTTTTGTTTGGCTGAAAGCCACAGGTATGGGTTCAATTTCTTGACTCCCTTTTATATCCTTTTTATACCCTTACTTTTTGGCCTGTAAAAGAGAGGAGGAATGGGTGACGAGCATATGGCAGGAGAAGCCAGTGATTTGAGTATAGAGAGTATCAGTGAGGATAATTCTTGTGGGTTTTGCCAGGTTCTAAAGTATGTCTCCTGATAGTGTTGCTCAGAAGGTATGAATTCCTGTCTTCCCATCCCACCCCTATCAGTGACTTAGTACCCAGGAGAGCCAGGCCACCAAGGCATATGCAGACTGGGTCTAAGAAATAGGACTGTGAGGCAGTGAGACTTGAAATAGTAATAAGAAGAGCTTCTGACTACCAGAGCTAGGTAGGTTTCTTTAGCCTGTGAAAATGAGCTACTCTTTCTGTAAGGACTGATTTACAGTCACTTGGAAGATACAGAGATCATATATTCTGCAAAGAATAATGGCACTCTTCTCCTGTAATGTCCTTGTAAGGGAAGGGGAGGCGGCAGACCCAAGTAGTCCATATCATAGATTGCCAAGTTGTCCTTGTTGTTATGTGCCATCGAGTCGGACCCGACTCATTGGGTTTCCAAGGCAGTATCACTACGGAAGTAGATTGCCTAACCTTCCTTCTGAGGAGTGGCTGGTGGATTTGAACTGCCAGACTTCTGGTTAGCAATCAAGTGCCTTAGGCACCATGCTACCAGAGCTCTAACCAGTATTCATTGGCCCTGTCCACATTTCCCAGTGGCCTTTCTTGCCTGTTTACTCAGGGTGGCCGACTGCAAGTTAGTTTATATACATGCTCTGACAATACTAGTGAAGTCCACAACCTGAAAGAAGAATAAATAAAAAGCATCCGTAGAGCTTAGTTATGTGAGGCCTCTTCGTTATTTCTATGACACCTTGGGGACAATGGGAGGGGGGAAAATGGCTTGTCACTAAGAAGCTTCTGCTTTCTATCTCTCAAGCAACCTCATAACATTCTGCAGAGACGCCTCATGGAAACCAATCTGTCTAAGCTCCGAAGCAGCCGTGTCCCTTGGGCCTCCAAGACCAGCAGACTCAATCAGGCTAAGTCTGAGAGTCTAAAGAAGTCTGAGGATGATGACATGATTTTGGTGTCTTGCCAGGTAATGTTCTGAGGGCAGCTTTGGGATTTTCTAGAACGTAGGATTTGGGAGCCCTCTTTTATCTCAAGAGTGGGCCCTCTCCTCCGAACACTATAGAGTTGTGGGTCTTATCATGAAATTCATAAATGGACTTTAAAGGAGCACTCCATGAACACTGGAGTGCATACAAAATTTCGTATGTATGTGCATCCTTGTGGGAAGAAGTACCAAAGCTTTCATCGGATTTGAAAAGGGGTATGTCATGATTAAAAAAGATTAAAAAAAAAAAAGATTAAAGGTACCCTGGCATGTGGAATAAAACATCCAAAGTCTTTGGAATCGTCTATCAGCACTGAATTCAGCAGGAAAGAAAGCTACTTAAAGGCAGAGTCAGCAGTAGGTAAAGATGAGACAGAGTCCCAACTTGTAATTGTAAGATGCTCTCCAACTCTGTCTTTCATATGACATCTGCTGCTTGCTGTCTGGATCTCCCTTTCCCTTTGCTCCTCTGGCTCCTTTTGAACAGTATATTTCCTCCCCACAGTGTGCTGGAAAGGATGTGAAAGCCTTGGTTGACACAGGCTGTCAATATAATCTCATCTCCTCAGCCTGTGTGGACAGATTGGGGTAAGTATCCATCTGTGCTGGTGGAAGTCAGATGTGAATGCAGTCTCTGTGAATCTGTTTTGTGGTTACAGAGGGTGAGGCTCTCCACAGAGGCTCTAAGAAAAATGTGTAGAACTCGGATTTCAGCTGCAACCAGAGGCCTTAGTTGAGGGGAAGAGTGGTGGGCTGCCAGACAGCTGGTAGAAATCAGTGTGCCAGGCAAGCCTCCATCTCTCCATTAACTTCCACCTTCCAAGTTTTGAGCAGAGGCTTCTGGACTCTGGAGCGTGAGAGTGTGAGATGTCTGGCTCAGTGTGCCCTGCTCTGATCTGCCAGACAACAAATTAGAAGGAGCTGTCCTGTTGGTGTACCCCAGAAGAGTAAAAGCAGGGCCATGGGTGGCCTCAGCTTACTCAGGGTCCTTCTGGAGCCCACTCTGCCTGTCCTTGGAAATATGATTCAGAAGTGGCAATGGGGCTGCAATTAACCAATAGTTTTAACCTGATTAACCAATATTTCCTCCCTGTGAAGAACATGTAAAATCAGATCCTACTGCTACTCCTGCTGGGGATTAGGTTTGAGGCAACCACCTCAGATATTAAATAACTTCAATTCTCTGGCAGGTAGATATCCTCCTTTTAGTCAGAGAAAGCCATTTTCTGTCTTATCTCCTTATTCCTCAATCTTTACTTTCATTTCTTTCCTTCTTCTAACTCTTTTCCTCCAAAGTACCAAATGACCTCTAGGGTCTAGCATAGAATCAGGAAGATCAATGCAACATCTTTTTCCACATCTCTAGCCCTAAATATAATAAATCATTCCCCAGTCCAAATCCTAGCCCAAATCACTAAGATAGGTATAGCAGCCCATTTGAGCTACATTCAAGATGTCCATATTCTTAGATAGGGTTTGCATAAGATTTGATTTGTATAATCATTGACCTCTCATCTTACTTCTCACCAGCACCATAACTCTTTGAAACTGGATCTGTGGATTTTGAACATTGCTATTAGGGTCATGGGTGGAGTCCAGGACACAAGTGCTCTCATGGGAAGAAGCCTGAGCCTTTTTATGTGAATAGATGAGATATAGTGTAACATGATGGTTCCAGAAAGACTAATAATGTACTGGTGCATAATTAGGCAGCAGACTGCCATGATTCCAGAGGAATTAATAACCATCTGTAAAACTGCAATTATTTTGCTTTTGGATGGACTATAACAGCAAAGGAGAGGAAATGGAGGAAAACAGAAGTATTGGCACAGAGAGTCCATAATTAAGTATTTATCCACCAGCCCATAATAGTTCGGGTGCTAGTTGTTCCAGTCAACTTACATAATTGTGTGAAAGCCTGATGCTGTTCCTTTCCTTCCTCCCCTGCACAGACAAGTTAAATTAATTAGAACTTTTTCCATGATATTCCTTCTGACGCCAATCTCAATGCACTTACCAAATAAATACCTGGTGGTTCAAACTCACCAGCCACTCCTCAGAAGGAAGGTTGGGCAATCTACTTCTGTATTGATATCACCACGTAAACCCAAGGAGGGGTCTCTATGAGTCGGGTCCAACTCGACGGCATACAACAACAACAACCACTGACTTTATAACCTAAGGGAAACTGATGAGGATAGACTAACATAGAAAGGACAAAGAGAAAGTTTGACATTGAACAAAGCATCTTCTAAGACTATGGATTAACCTGCCTTCTCTGAGATCTGTTATGGATAGCAGGGATGTGTTAACTGCCTCATACATAGTTGTTTTGGTTACCTAGTGGTGCTCTAACAGAAATACCACAAATGGGATGGCTTTAACAAACAGGAGTTTATTCTCTTGCAGTTTGGAAGCTAGAAGTCTTAGTTCAAAGTGCCAGGCTCTAGGGGCTGGGTGAAAGCCTCTCAACCTTAGGGTCCAGCTCTGCTTCCTGCTCCCTGCCCACTGGAGCTAGAGGTGTTTCTTCACTCAAACAGCTGCTGAGGCTGAGAAGCTCCAAAGTTGACAAGTAAAAAGGCACAGCCCCGAGGTTACCAAACCACACGGCAGGCCATTAACTTAAATCCATTTTAAGTCCCAAGGTCAGCAGAGCATAGCAGGCTCCTGAGCAACAACACGGCTACATGCAGGGTCCAAGCGTGCCATAGGCTAGAGACTATCCCCAAGGCTTCTCCTTATATAAAGGAAGCAGACCACATCCCAAAGGCAGCTACTGAGCTGCTTGTGGTAGATCCCACCGTGGAGTTGATTGCCAGTCCATCATGGGGAATAACTACCACCAGCTACCCAGCCACTCAACCAGGCCCAGCCAAGCTGACACACAAACAACTACCACAGACACCAATAGTTGCATCTTAGATGGCCACTCAAAAGCTTTTAAAACCCCAGTCACTATTCACCAAAGTAGGTTGTGGAACAAGATTTTTATGTACTGTTATACCAGCTGAGCTTGGCATACCCTGAGACTATGGTCCTGAGTTGGCAGGCCCCATGGTTGTCTCTCTCAAGCTGTTTGGTTGTCTCTGAGAGGTTACTCCAACTCTGTCTTCTGTTGCTTCTGTAATGTGTATGGCTAATTTTGTATCACAAGTGCATATGTAAGATTACCTTCAGCTAAATCTATTCTTGATCTAGGGTGTATTCCTGTTTGCCGACCCCACCTGATCTTCTCACTTGTCTATGCATTTATCAGTAGCCTCGTGTTTGGTGTTAGTGGTAATGCAGTATTGTGCATGTAACATTATTTGCCTCTGTTGTCTGTATCTTTTGTACACATTCCTGTGTCCTCCCTTTCCCCATTGTCACCATGCTGGTCACAGACTCTTTCTATACCACCCCGTCCCTCACCCAAATCAACATGTGCCCCCCAACTAGTCCGAAATTTTCCCTCTTCTTCTCTCCATCCCTGGTAACCAACCATAAGTAAACCTTTCCTTGATATTTGACAATAATGGGCTTATACAATATTTGTCTTTCTGTGATTGACTTATTTCACTCAGCATAATGTCCTCCAAATTCATCCACATTGTAAGCTGATTTGCGTATTTTTTCATTATTCTTTAATGTAGTATAGTGTTGTATTGTGTGAATGTACCATCGTTTGGTTATCCATTCATCTGTTGATGGGCATTTAGATTGTTTTCTCTCTTTTCTGTAGTGAATTGTGCTGTGATGAACATGGATTGCATATGTCTGTTCATGTCCTGTCTCTCACCTCTTTAGGATATGTTCCTAGCAATGGAATTACTGGATCAAATGGTATTTCTATTTTCAGTTTTTTAAGGAAAACACTACCATTTTCCATAATCGTTGTACCATTTTGCAGTCCCACTGGCAGTGTTTGAGAGTTCTAGTCTCTCTACAGCCTTGCCAGCATTTGTTATTTTCTCTCTTGTTGAACTTTGCTGTTATTGCTGGGGTGAGATGATACCTCATTTTTGTTTTGATTTGCATCTAGTGGCTAATGGTCATGAGCATTTCCTCATGTGTTTGTTGGCTGCCAGCATATTATCTTTAGTGAAGTGCCTGTTCATGTCTCTTGCCCATTTTTGAGTTGGATTGTTTGTCTTTTTGGTGTTGAGGTGTTGAAGTTTTCTATAAATTCTGGAAATAAGTCCTTTGTCAGATTTGTCTTAGCCAAATATTTTTTCCCAATCTGTAGGTTCTCTTTTTACCCTTTTGGAGAAGTCTTTCAATATGCATAAGAATTTAATTATTTAAAAATCCTGGTCATCTAGCTTCTCTTCCACTGTCTGTGCATTTTGGGTTGTACTTGATAGTCTGTTTATGCCATAAATTGGGGCCCTTAGATTTGCCCCTGTTTTATCTTCGATGAGCTTTATAGTTTTAGGTTTTACATTTGAGTCTTTGATCCAACTTGAGTTTGTTTTTGT